TAAAAAACAATACAAAATCAACATGTTTCATATTTTTTCCTCTCAACATGGACGTCCTGTCGTCCACGACGATAATCCATTGCAAAAAATACCACAAAGAGCACACGCGCGCGTTCATGTCAGAATCCTACCGAACACCGTGTGTTTGCAAGCATTTCAACATAAAAACATCAAAAACCCAATGTTTTTTCACAAAAACTGTACAAATTTCCCGCCCGGGCTCTCTTGCTGAAATCATAGGAAAACCATAGGAATCTTAAGAATTCGGTCAAATCCAGCGATTTCACGTCATCGCGCGGTGCACTCGCGATGCTCTGTCATGCACCCAGGCCGCGAATACTGTGCAAAAAAAACCACAAAGAGCACACTCGCGCGTTCATGTCAGAATCCTACCGAACACCGTGTGTTTGCAAGCATTTCAACATAAAAAAATCAAAAACCCAATGCTTTTTCACACAAATCCTTTGGGGTGTCCTGTCAGACCGTCGGGCTTCCTCCGGCCACCTCTGGCTTCCTGCGGTGTACCGGGCCATTCTCGACTCGTCTGGCAATGCGTGCGCAGCATTCAACACGCGCTCGCCAGTTCCCGTCGGCAACCGCATCGCGGCCGCATCAGCTGTACCAAACCGGCTGGCCGGTGTGACTTCGGCCCCCAGTTGTGCCATCTTTGCTTCTTATGTTGTGGGAGGGCGGGTGGGACTGGGCATGCCATGCTTGACTCGCTCGAGCTGGCTAGCTTGACTCCTACTCCTACTCCTATCTCCTACTCCTACTCCTACTCCTACTCCTAACTACAACTACTATTACTGCTGCTACAACTGCTACTACTACGCACTACTACTACTACTACTACTAGTACTACTACTACTACTACTACTACTACTACTACTACTACTACTACTACTACTACTACTACTGCTACTACCACTACCAGTACTACAACTGGTCCTACTGGTACTACTTCTACTACTACGACTAGGAGCCGAAGAGGAGGAAGAGGAGGAGGGAGAGAAGGCGATGGGAGGCAAGACAGAAGGCAGTCGTTCTCCAGTCCTACACGTAACCGACTCTGTCGACTCATAAGGACGCGCGGTAAGGACGCAAGACCCTTGGAGGCCGAAGTTGGCGCATTTGGGACGCGTGCCCTTACCATGCGGTAAGGGCGCGCGGTGAAGACGCAAGGGGTCCAAGGGTACCCTAGGAAAAGGCGCGCGTCCTTGCCATGCGCGTTGGCTGTATCCGATGTTTGGCTCCCCCCCTGTGTTGCTACTGGGTCGGCAGGCTGTTCCTGAGTGCAACGTCTCATTGTCATCATGGTTTTCCTCATCCCTCCTCCGCCTCTTCTGGGCCCCGTAGCAACGCAGTGGTGGCCATATCGCACTTTTACTTCGAGGTCTCACGCCTCGCTGTGCTGCAATTGCGTTCGCTCCTGTCGCTGCGCCCCCCCCTGTGTTGCTACTGGGTCGGAGGGTTGTTCCCAGCGGCAACTGTTCATGGTCATCATGGCCCTCCTCCTCCCCCGCCTCTCTCGGACCCAGTAGCAACACAGCGGTGGCCATATCGCATTTTTACTTCGAGGTCTCACGCCTCGCTGTGCTGCAATTGCGTTCGCTCCTGTCGCTGCGCCCCCCTGTGTTGCTACTGGGTCGGAGGACTGTTCCCGACAGCAACTTCTCATGGTCATCATTATCCCCCTCCCCCCCCTCCTCCTCCCCCGCCTTTTTCGGACCCAGTGGCAACGCAGTGGACGCGCCCAAGAGCGTCGGACGCCGCGACGGCCGATATTCAAGACAAAGGGCAGCCAACGGATTCGAGGCGGCCTGGCGGAGTCTGGTGCTCCGTATTCGGAGGCAGGCGTCGCTCCTTGCGAAGCAATGCTTAGGGTCCACAGGCAACGACGATGCCGACACTCTTGCCTGCCGCGTCGCTCCGATCGGCGGCCTTCCAAGGGAACGCCCTGCCTCGCATCGTCGTCGACGTTGTCCTCGTCGTCGTTGCCGTCGCCATCGCCGTCGCCGTCCTCGCGGTCGCCGTCGCCGTCGCCGTCGTCGCCGTCGCCGTCGCTGGCTCAGGACAGCCCCCCCCCGCCCCGAGTGCCACAGTTGCTTGCGTGGGGCCGCCGCCGTCGTCGTCGGCGCCGCCGTCGTCGTCGCCGTCGCCGCGATGCCCTCGGAGGTGCTGGGCTGCCTGACAGAGCCTCCCTATACACTCCCAACACTCCCTGTGGGCCCCGAACCCTCGGTGCTCCGAATCTTTGTGGCCCCCTGCGAATCACAAAGATTCCGCAAATCTTTGTGATCCCCCGCGAATCACAAAGATTCCACAAATCTTTGTGACCCCCTGCGAACCACAAAGGTTCAAAGATCCCGAGCGCAGCCTTTCCACGCAATCTTTGTGATCAAGCCCTCGGCTGTCACAAAGACTGCCACGAAATGCAGCGCTGAGAATCTTTGAATCTTTGTGATTCCCTGCGAATCACAAAGATTCTGCAAATCCGCCGATCCGGCGTGTGAGTTTCAAGGAGTCTCAGCTACAGCCTCGAGGCTGAGCTTCAGCCTCTGGGGGGGTCGCCGGGGTGGCTCTGCCGGGGAAGGGGGGGTGGGGAGGGGGGGGGGGGGTGCGAGTTTCCGGCGAACCCCGGGGCCGCTCCGGGGGAGTGGAAGATAGGGGGGGGGGGGGCGCCATGCTCCGCTTTTTCCGGCGCTTTGGAGGAGGGGGGGGGCCCAAGAGACCCCCAAGGGGTTCCAAGATGGCCCCGAGTCGCCGAAAAATCGCTCCAAGACGCCCGAGATGGCCTCCAGACGGCCCAAGGTGTCTCCAAGACGCCCCAAGAAGCTTCCAAGAGGCCTCCCAAGAGGGCCCCAAGAGGCCAGAATCGTTGATTTTCATTGGTTTTCTCAGGGTTTTTAGCGTTCTTGCCTTTTCGGGCGTCCGACGCTCGAAGACGGCCAAAGAGGCCCCCAAGTCCGTCCCAAGACGGCCCACGATGCTTCCAACACGGCCCAAGAGAGCCCCAAGACGGCCCAAGAGGGCCCCAAGACGGCCCAAGAGGGCCTCTGGACGGCCCAAGAAGGCCCCAAGAGAGCCCCAAGAGGGGCCCAAGAGGGGACCACGGAACCGAAAGAAACCGAGCTTTCCCGGCCAAAAAAGAACCCCCCCCAAGAAAAAGAATTCCCCGCCAAGGCCCCCAGAGCCCCAAGAGACCCCGAGGTGCCCCAAGAAGCCCACAAGAGGCCCAAAAGAGGTTCCAAGAGGCCCCAAAACAGCTCCCCAGAGGCCTCCAGACTGCCTCCGGCAGGCCCCCGGTTTCTTCCGCGGCACCGCCCAGGGCGCCACCGGCAGGATGTCCTCCGTCTCATCGTGTTCCTTCAAGTTATCGCCTCTTCCTCATTCTCCTCCTCCTCCTCTGCGACCTCACTCCTATCCCTCAACGATCGCGTCACCGAGTGCCTCTTCTTTGAAAAATCCTCGCTCTTCAAACGCACATCCATACACACATGCATACATACCTACATTTAAACACATTTGCATACATAGAAAAACAATCTTCCAGACATACATACTTACATTCACACACATACACACATATTATCATACACACATACAAACATACATACACACTAAATACATACATACGCGCACAAGCATACATACATACATACGTACCTACACACAGGCACACATGATCAATGCATGCATACATGCATGCACGCGTACATACACACACATATATCGTGTAACTCACCGCGTGCTCGAAACTTGAGAGAGACCGCGGGAAGTCGAGAGAAGCCGCGGAACGAGGCCTCTACTACTACTACCACTACTACCACAACCACTACTACTACTACTACTACCACTACTACTACTACTACTACTACTACTACTACTACTACTACTGCTACTACTACTACTACTACTACTACTACTAATACTACTACTCGTACTACAGGAGCGTTTCCCAACTAGTATGTGTGTGTGGGTGATGCTGTGTGCGCATGTCTGCGGCGCAGGTTAAGTGGTGTGACTGTGTGTGTGCGTTTGAGTGTGCGCCCATAATTTCTGCGTCTGGAGAATAACCCCGAGCGACCCGGATCGGCGGCACTGGCCGAAGGCCACTACAATATTTGTGATCCCCTGCGAATCACAAAGATTCCGCAAATCTTTGCGATTCCCTGCGAATCACAAAGATTCAAATAATCCGAGCGCAATGAATTAATAGAAAACAAAATCACAAAAAGGACAGGCAACAAATGGGAAATATAAACCAGACCTTAAGAAGCATGACAGAAAACACAAGATAACCCTAAAAACAAAAAACAAAAAATCCGAGCCTTTCCACACAATCTTTGTGATCAAGCCCTCGGCTGTCACAAAGATTGCCACGAAATGCAGCGCTGGAGATCTTTGAATCTTTGTGACGCCCTGCGAATCACAAAGATTCTGCAAATCTTTGTGATCCTCTGCGAACCACAAAGATTCCGCAAATATTTGCGATTCCCTGCGCATCACAAAGATTCGAAGACCCCGAGCGCATCTAAGAAGAACCGCGCTGGTGATCTTCGAAGCTTTGTGAGCCTCGAGGGGCCGCAAAGACTTCAAGTGTTTTTGTGACCTTGATCTGCTTCAGCGCGTTGGCATCAAGGAACACGTGGGTCCCCAGTGTCCTTGTTGCCAACAAGGGAACAAGGACACTGGGGACCCGCGGGGATTTGAACCGAGGCGCTTGGGGCCTTTCGGACGCCATCGCATCTTCATTCTTCCTTGATCGTCATCCCGAAATGTGACGCGACGACTACGATGACGATAGAATCTATGGCTGCGCGTGCTGCTATGCCACGAACGGTCCAAATTCAATGCCCAGCGATGCTGCGCGGGGCGCGCGCGCCACCCCCGCTACCGCCCCGTGTAGCGGCGAGCCCGCCCGCGCAGCACAACTAGCTCCGAAGCTCTAGGCGGCGCTCGGTCTTAAGTTGGCCTGCGCACAGCTACGACGCCCCCACCAGGCTGGCCACGCTCTCCCACAGCGCGCCGCCCGTGCATGCCAAGTTCTGTCTCCACTGCCACGACATGATGTATGTGCGCAGCTCAGGGTTCACGGCGCGACCCTTGGCGGCCTTCAGGGTCCGCGGGATGTGCGACTTCATGTACTTCCACCGTGAGTCCATTGCCTGCGTGCCAGCCAGGCGGGACTGCCCCCTCTTCTTCTTGGCAATGAGCTTCGTGTCTGCCGCTTCTGGTGCACCACCGCCGACAGCGCGATGTTGCGGCCTGCCTTGTTCCGCTGCTCGACAATCTTGGACCAGGCCAGTGCGCCGTCGGAGAAGAGGAACACCTTCTTCTTCCTCACCAGTCTGTTCATGTTGCCCGACTTGAGATCCTCGCCCTGCGCCTCGGGCGGCGGCGCCGTGCCAGGCGGCGCCACGCGGGCAGGAAGTGGGGCAGCGGTCACCCTGCCACCGCGCTCACAAAGCCCCACGTAGCGGACGTGGACCATGTAGCGCTTGGGCTCCACGAACTTGCAGGACCGCTTCTTCGCCCTGCATGCCTTCAGCCTCAGGTATGCGATCGTCCTCTTCTTCGCCTCTGCGATCTCGGCCCGCCACGTCGTGCTCTTGCTGCTCACCCTGATCTTCCTGACCAGCGCGCCGTCGCCCTCGATGTTGCGGATGGGCTCGATCTCCCCGCCGAGCTGCATCGACTCGTTCTCCTTGTCCCCTGCGCCCGCCTCCAAGCCGCGCAGATACCTGTGCAGGCGGTGCGCGACGTTGTACCCGCAGTATGCTGACTTGGCAGCTTTCCGCGCGCTGGCGCTGCCCTGGCCCGCCGCGTCCGTATAGGATTCGAGGAGCGACCTCAGCTGGACGCAGCTCAATTGCCCGATCAGCTTGCACGGGATCTTCGAGAACTTCATGACGCCGTGGTAGCAGTGACACCCCCAATCGTTGCAGCGGAAGTAGAGCAAGTCCTTGTTGGTGGCACCGCCCCTGGCCCGACTGCACGGGGCGTCCGAAAGGCATCCCCTCGCGCATGTCGGGCAGCGAAGAGGTGCCCGAGCGAGGAAGCCCGCTTGGACCAGCTCCTCGCGGGCTGCAACCGAGCCTTCGGCCCCGCGCGAACAGGTCTTCTTCTCCAAATTGGCCTGCAACGCGATGGCGCGCTTCTCGCTGTGGCCAGCCGAGTACAGCTTGGAGCGCTGGCGCCGCAACTTCTTGAACGACTTCGGCTGGCTCGCCCTCAGCTGGCCCGTCCTCGGCTTGGCGCTGGTCTTCTCCAAGCGGCTGATCTTCGCCTTCAGACTCTTGATGACAGCAGCGCCAGGGCTCGGGCACGTCGCCACGGTGTGCCCCGACTTGCCGCAGCAGCTGCAGCGATGGCGCTTACTCGGCGCCATGGCCAAGGGCGCCCCCGCCGCCGCGCGGCCGCGGCGCCTGCAGAGATGGCAAGCGCAGCGCGCTCGAGCCGAAGAGATCGCCAGATGCCTCGGGCAGGCGCGGGCGGCCACAACATAAACGTGTGATTTGGTTGTGCCTCGAACGCTCCTGGTGATCTCACGACTCGCAGTAGCAACGCAGTGGTGGTCATATCGCATTTTTACTTCGAGGTATCACGCCTCGCTGAGTTGCAATTGCGTTCGCTCGCGTCGCTGCGCCCCCCCTGTGTTGCTACTGGGTCGGAGGGCTGTTCCCGACGGCAACTTTTCATGGTCAACATGACCCTCCTCCTCCCCCGCCTCTCTCGGACCCAGTAGCAACACAGCGGTGACCATATCGCACTTTCAGTTCGAGGTCTCACGCCTCACTGCGTTGCTCTTGCGTTCGCTCGTGTCGCTATGCTGCTGCTGGTCACAGTGGCCACTGCCTGCGTAGGCGGACTCGGCGGAGCCTATGTGTATTTTGTTTCTCATTCTACCCAGGCGACCCCGGTCCTCGCCCCCGAACGTACATCCTGCGAGAAAGCTCTAGGATGCCAGGCCCGTGAGCGACCACAAAGCCCTCGCGCTGACGGAGAGCGGTCAGCCCCGACCACCGCTGCGAAGTCATGCGCTAGATGTCCGAGCCCGCCCTCGCTACCAGCCAATGCCACGTGCCGACAATCGCCCTCCCCCCCATGACTTCATTGCTCGCCTGGTCGTCAGCTCGGCATGGGCCAGTAGCGGGGCATCTCGAAGGTAGATTGCGCGCGGGCGCGCGGCGGGGCCCAGGCCGCGGCGCGCTCCGAGCTCTCATGCAATGGCTGCTCAATCCTCCGCCCCCATGCCTACTGGTGGGAAGAGCGGGGGACTGCTCGGCGAAAACGCCTGCGGGCTTGCCTCGACGCCAGGCTGCGTGGCCAAGCCCTCGGCCTCGAGCATCGCCCCCAGCTCCACGGCCAGGATGTCGGGCTGGCCCTCGACAAGCGACGGCGGGGAGCCCCTCGGACGCACCTCCCTCGCCCCCACGCCGTCGATGCGGCACCGGCTGCGCTTGGTGCTGGTGCGCGGTGCCGGCGGCCCCGTCGGGAACACGTAACTCCCGTCTCCATCTGGGCGCACGTGGAGAGCGATCGCCCCGCCGCTGGCCTCGGCCTCGGGGCTAGGCGGCGCCGCGCTGAGCATGGAGGCCCCGTCGCTGGCCTCGGCCTCGGGGCGCGGCGGCGCCGCGCTCAGCCTAGAGGACAACTTCATGACGGAGAGCAGCTTGGCCTGCAAGGACTCGTTGCACTCGGCGATGTAGGCGTCGGCCAGCTTGTCCCCGCGCGCGGTCACGGCACGGTCGATCAAGTCCTGCCCCCTCTGCAACTGCTCGTCGAAGTTGTCGTGGAACACCTCCATGCCCTGCTTGTAGAGGTTGTAGTACTTCTTGTTGCCATTGCCCCAGTACTGCTTGTCGCGCAACCAGTCCTTCTCGATGTTGTCGAAGCTGATGCGGTGGACCACCGCGTCGGGGTCGCTGCTGGGAAAGCGAAGGCACATGGAGTGGCGACCAGCGACGCACGCGACGGTGCGCTTGAGCACCGCGAGGACATGCGCCTGCTTCCACCCCGAGAACGGCTTCATGAACAGCTTCTCAGCCTCGGCCGCGGTGATAATGGTTCGGCGTTCGTCATCCTCGGGCGTTGTCCCTTTCTCATCGAAACTCATTCTCCGCCAAGCACCGCACTGAGTTCTTCCACGACTTGGGTGTTGTACCTGGCCCTTTGCGGAAGTGTCCTCTGCGGCGTCGAAAGAAGGACCTTCATCTCGAATCGAGAGATGCCACATGCCAGGGTCGTCGAGGAGAGTGCCCTCGGACGCTGTCCCCTGGCTGGACTTGAAGCTGTCCATCGACTTGCTGCGGCGCCATCCAGGGAGTAGATTACCGCCCGAGCGCGCCGCAGTGTAGCGGCACATGGCCATGGCGAGCACGATGAAAGTGGGCGTCTTGCCGATGCCAGGCAAGCCAAAGAAGAGGAGTCCAAACTGCGATAGGAGCGGGAAGATGCACGGAAGCAACACTTCTGGCCACAGCGGGTGCAAGTCGAACACGCACAGGGGGAACGAGCGCTCAACCTTGGCGCACCCCGTTGCTGCCTTCGCTCGGTTGCGCACTGCGTCAGTAACTTTAGCCCACGGCCACCCCGCAATCTTGGACCCACTGCTTGGCTTGATGTTCTTCTCAATGAAGAGCCACTGCTGGTTCATGTCGTTCACGGCGGGCGCGTGCTTGTTGATGAAGTCAATGCCCTCTTCGAGCTCCTCGTCCGTGGCCTCCCATCTCTTCTTTTCGCCGTCTGTCGGTTTCGCCCGCTGCTTCTCCTCCACGCTTGCCCAATCGACGCGGTGGCCAGGGATGCGATCAAGCAACCACTGCAGGGTTTTCTTGTGGAGCCATGGGCCTTTTCTCGCTATTGGAGCATGCCCAGTCCCGATCACGAGCTCCTGTGCGGTCTTCAAGGGCACCTGGTTCTGGAACGCGTAGATCTTGACGGCGACGGCGGCGCCGTTGCCGTTGCCACCGACAACGGAGTATTTGGTGCCTTCGGGGAGCTCAGCGCCTGGGCGAAGAGCAGGCGGCACGTCGGTGCACGTCTGCCCCGCGATCTGCTCCATGACCTGGTCCAGATTTTCTGGCATCGGAAACTCTTCCACGACGTCGAAGATAGACCTGGTCACCCTCGCCTCGCCCAGCTTCCGCAGAGCACCGCGGGTAAAAGTGCCGACGTCGACGGGCCCGTCAATGCCCCCCGCCGCTTTGCTGGACACGGCGGCCGCGTCCAACTCCGAGTAGGTCATGTCCTTGTCCTTCAAGGCGCCCATGGCCTCGTCGATGAGCAACGGCATCGCGGGTCGAGCGGGCGCGAGCCTCGTCGGGCAACCACCGGCAATCCAACGACACAGCCAAAGAGCTTGAGCCACACGTCTTTGAACAGAAGCACGCAATCTATCGCTTATCTTGAATTTCGTGTCATTGATTGGCATAAGTTGCGCCGCGTAGCTTGCCACGCATAGGTTGCGACTCATACACGGCGCCGAGTGCACCGCATACTCTGCACCATGTACGTTGCACCACATACCCTGCACCATGTAGATTGCGCCGCCTAGGTTGCACCTGTAGCTTGAAAGACGGGGGGTCGAGTGAGCACCCAAAAGGCCAGTAGGCCATCACATTACACTTATCATCATCACAGCCACCACCATCACCATCAGCAAATTCACCATCATCATCATCATTACCATGTCCATCACTACCACCATAGTCGCCATCCTCAGCATCATCGTCATCATCATCATTACCATCATCACCGTCATCATCATCATCGTCATCATCATCATCGTCGTTTTCATCAAAAGCATCCCCATCATCATCATCATTGTGACCTCGAAATGAAAATGTAATATGGCCACCACTGCGTTGCTACTGGGTCCGAAAGTGGCGGGGGCGGAGGAGAATCATGATGACCATGAGAAGTTGCTGTCGGGAACAGTCCCCCGACCCAGTAGCAACGCAGGGGGGCACAGCGACACGAGCGAACGCAATTGCAACGCAGCCACATTACACTTATCATCATCACCGCCGTCACCATCGTCATCATCGTCATCGCAATTCATCATCATCATTACCATGGCCATTACTACCACCATAGTCGTCATCCTCATCGTCATCGTCATCATCACCATTGCCATCATCATCGCCATCATCATTGCCATCATCGTCATCATCATCATTATCATCCACGTCTTCATCAAAATCATCCCCATCTGGCCACTGGCCGCAAGTTAGGCCATTCAGTTACACTCATCAATGTCACCGCCATCACCATCATCATCATCAAATTCATCATCATCATCATCATCAGTACCATGGCCATCATTACCACCATAGTCGTCATCCTCCTCCTCCTCATCATCATCATTAGCATCATCACCGCCATCATCATCGTCATCATCATCATCCTCGGCTTCATCAAAAGCATACACATCATCATTATGACCTCGAACTGAAAGTGCGATATGGCCACCGCTGCGTTGCTACTGGGTCCGAAAGTGGCGGGGGCGGAGGAGGAAGATCATGATGACCAAGAGAAGTTGCTGTCGGGAACAGTCCCCCGACCCAGTGGCAACACAGGGGGGCGCAGCGACACGAGCGAACGCAATGGCAACGCAGCCGCATTACACTTGTCATCATCACCGCAACCACCATCATCATCCAGTTCATCATCATCATTACCATGGCCACTATTACCACCAGAGTCGTCATCCTCATCATCATCACCGCCATCATCATTACCATCACCGTCGTCATCACCATTATCATCATCGTCATCATCATTATCACCCACGTTTTCATCCAATCATGCCCATCCGGCACCGGCGGTAAGTTAGGCCATCAAGTTACAATTATCATCATCACCGCCATCACCATCGTCATCATCAACTTCATCAGCATCATCATTTTCATTACCATGGCCATCATTTCACCATAGTCGCCCTCATCATCATCATCGTCATCATCATCACCATTACCATCATCATCGTCATCATCATTATCGTCATCATCGTCATCATCATCAGCATTACCATCATCATCGTCATCATCATTATCATCATCGTCATCATTCTCATCATTTTCGTCCTGGTCTTTATTAACATCATCCCCATCATCATCATGACCTCGAAGTGAACGTGCGATATGGCCACCACTGCGTTGCTACTGGGTCCGAACGGGGCGGGGGCGGAGGAGGACCATGATGACCATGAGAAGTTACTGTCGGGAACAGTCCTCCCAGTAGCAACACAGGGCTCCTCCTCCTCCCCCTCCCCCTCCTCGTCTTCATCGTCGTCGGCGGGGTCGGCAGCGCCGGCCGTGAGATAAGGCGCCAATATACACTCATCATTATCACCGCCACCATTATCATCATCATCGCCAGCCTCATCTTCATCACATCGCCATCATCAGCATCATCCTCATCATCAATACCACCATCATCATCGCTATCATCATGCTACTCATCGTCATTACCATCATCATCATTCATACCATGACCATCATCACCATCACCGCCATGACCGTCATCATAACCGTCATCATCTTCACTATTTCAAACCAATCCCAGGCGCCACAGTTGCTTGCATCGGGGCCCTCCTCCTGCAGCGACCGCAACGAGATCAACCTTTCGGCCGTCCTCGCCGCTGCTCGACGATAGCGTTGCAGTGCCTCCTCCTCCGCAGCCTCCTCCCGCATCCTCCTTCTCCTCTTCCTCCTCCTCCTCCTCCTCCCCATCCTTCCCCTCCTCCTCCTCCTCCTCCTCCTCCTCCTCCTCCCCCTCCTCCTCCTCCTCCTCCTCTCATCTCCTCCTCCTCCTCCTCCCTCCTATTCCTCCTCTCCTCCTCCTCCTCCTCCGCCTCCTCCTCCTCCTCCTCCTCCTCTCCTCCCCTCCTCCTCCTACTACTCCTCCTCCTCCTCCTCCTCCTCCTCCTCCTCCTCCTCCTCCTCCTCCTCCTCTTCCTCCTCCTCCTCCTCCTCCTCCTCCTCCTCTCCTCCCCCACATCCCTCCCATGTCTAGTACTCTATATCATTCTCTTCCTGCCTCCTCCTCCGTCCTCGGTGTCCTCCCACACCTCCTCGGGTGACAGCGCCCGCTGCGTTGCTACTGGGTCGGGCCGCGGTCCTCGCAGCTGCGCGCCGCTGGCGTTGCAGCCCCTCCTCCTCCTCCCACCTCCTCCTCCCGCCCCCCCCCGCTTCCCCCTCCTCCTCCCCCTCCTCCTCCACCGCCCCTCCTCTGAGAGGAGGGGGGAGAGTCTCCCCCCCTCCTGCTCATATATCCCCCCTCCCCTTCTCTTCGCACTACCCAGTTTCATCCTCTCCCTGTCTCCTCCTCTGTCCTCGGCAATGCAAACCCAACGCAATGCCCTGCAATGCGACGCCACACAACGCAAAGCAACGCAGCGCACGACATCTAGCACCGCATATGCTACGCGCGTTGCTGCTGCCTCGGCACCATTCTTTTTCTCAAATGCGATGCGTTCTGCAGCGTTGCGATAACGCGCCCAGTCCACGCGTTGAATATACATGCGCGGCAACCCAAACCGCGCCACTAAGGCAGCATGGCGTTGGGGCGTTCGCTGGCCATGGCCCCCGCCTGCTGGCCGATTGGCGCTGCAGACGGTCACGCGCCGCAGCGCGGGCACGTCTTGATGCTCGGCAATTGCTTCGGATTGCACACTACGCAGAACCGCTTGATATGCCGGCAGGATCCCTGTCCGTACCGCAGCGTGGCGTAGCCGCACCGCCCGCACTTAAGCAGGCGGCCGCTGCCCGCAGGAATCCTGGACTCCAGCTGATCAGGTGTCTGGGATGTCCTCGCTGGGCCGCTGGGATGCACGATGCCATGCTCCTTGTCTGGGCGGCCGCGCTCCTTGCAGCACGCGCAGACCCGACCGTCTGCAGCGCCCGCAAGTTCGAGGCTCTTGTACGCGAGTCAGTCCTCGCCGCAGCTACGGCACCGCCTCATGTAGCAGGTCTCGTAATAGTTCGACCACGCCACTGCGACCTTCGCGGCGTGTCCGCCGCGCGCAGCACGGGGCGCCATCGGTGCCCCGTCAGGCTCGTCGTCGGCGGGGCCCTCGTCCACGGCCTGGTATTGCTTGCCCGTGCCGAGACACAGTCTCATTGGAATTTCTTCCCACTTACCAGAATACGACAGTTTTTCACACGCCTCCCGAACATTGTCCGTGCCGACGCTGGCATGCAGCTGATCGAGGAGCATGCCCTTATCTGGGAGCGGGAGCATGCTGAACGTCACCGACGCGTTTCGCCGCAGCGACTCTGGCTTGAGCGCCCACAAGTGCACGCGGGCGTTCCAATACAAATTACAAGGGTCATCGCCCTTAGATGTCTGATGGGTCTGCAACTTGGGAGTTCGGTTCTCGTTGAAGCCTGTCACTATCTTCTCTTCTAGCTCTTTGTACTGAGGGAACGTTGACGGAGGGTGCTGGTAGCAATACACCAGCGTGTCCCTCATGCCCGAGAACGAGTCGTAACAGGAACGCACGCTGGACTCGTCGTACTTCAACATCTCGTACCGTCCCCCGGCCATGCCAAGAGTCAGGATGGTTGCGCTGGAATCCCATGGCTTCTTCTTCTTGCCCAAGGCGCGCAGAACGTGAACAAGCTGCAAGTTTACGAGGTGCCCGTGCACTTTGAACGGGCCTCCGATGGACCGAATCTCTTGCTTAATATCCAGTCCTGGGAGCGCCGGCGCCATGGGCCGATTTGCTTTCCAGAATTTCACCATGTCGTCTCCTGCCTTGCTGTTTTCCCAGAAACGTACGAAACAGATCTCTTGAGTCGGCACTTCAAAGCCACGCACGTATGTAATCCAGCCCTCGTTCCTTCGGAAATGCTCGTGCTCCAATGTTCAAATTGTTTTGGCTGTTCAAATCGGTCCGGTTTAGCTGTCCTGGTTGTTTGCTCGAGCGCGCCCCGCCATTACGAAACCGGGTTTGATTGGTGCTCCTCGTTCGGCTTCGTGCGAGTCTTCCCATTTGCCGGTCGCTGTGTAGTATGATCACTCGGCCTAGTCACGGCCAAACATAGCAGGGCGATAAACCTCAGTAAGAATGGCTTGAGCCCGAGGCTACGGAAGGGGATGGCGGTGAGAACGGCGACAGGCTGCGCATGGCCAAGTTCATAATTCCGCTCAGCTCCCCCCGTCTGCCGAGGGCGGCGTAGCGCACAGTCAAAACGTATCATAAGGACGCGCGGTAAGGACGCAAGACCCTTGGAGGCCGAAGTTGGGGCATTTGGGGCGCGTGTCCTTACCATGCGGTAAGGGCGCGCGGTGAAGACGCAAGGGGTCCAAGGGTGCCCTAGGAAAAGGCGCGCGTCCTTACCATGCGCGTTGACTGTATCCGATGTTTGGCCCCCCCCCTGTGTTGCTACTGGGTCGGTAGGCTGTTCCTGAGTGCAACTTCTCATTGTCATCATGGTTTTCCTCATCCCTCCTCCGCCCCTTCTGGGCCCCGTAGCAACGCAGTGGTGGCCATGTCGCACTTTTACTTCGAGGTCTCACGCCTCGCTGCGTTGCAATTGCGTTCGCTCGTGTCGATGCGCCCCCCCTGTGTTGCTACTGGGTCGGAGGGCTGTTCCCGACGGCAACTTTTCACGGTCATCATGGCCCTCCTCCCCCCCCGCCTCTCTCGGGCCCAGTAGCAACACAGCGGTGGCCATATCGCATTTTTACTTCGAGGTCTCACGCCTCGCTGTGTTGCAATTGCGTTCGCTCCTGTCGCTGCGCCCCCCTGTGTTGCTACTGGGTCGGAGGACTGTTCCCGACAGCAACTTCTCCTGGTCCTCCTCCTCCTCCTCCTCCCCCCCCCGCCTTTTTTCGGACCCAGTAGCAACGCAGTGGACGCGCCCAAGAGCGTCGGACGCCGCGACGGCCGATATTCAAGACAAAGGGCAGCCAACGGATTCGAGGCGGCCTGGCGGAGCCTGGTGCTCCGTATTCGGAGGCAGGCGTCGCTCCTTGCGAAGCAGTAGTTAGGGTCCACAGGCAACGGCGATGCCGGCACTCTTGCCTGCCGCGTCGCTCCGATCGGCGGCCTTCCAAGGAAACGCCCTGCCTCTCATCGTCGTCGACGTTGTCCTCGTCGTCGTTGCCGTCGCCATCGCCGTCGCCGTCCTCGCGGTCGCCGTCGCCGTCGCCGTCGTTGCCGTCGCCGTCGCTGGCTCAGGACAGGCCCCCCGCCCCGAGTACCACAGTTGCTTGCGTGGGGCCTCCGCCGTCGTCGTCGGCGCCGCCGTCGTCGTCGCCGTCGCCGCGATGCCCTCGGAGGTGCTGGGCTGCCTGACAGAGCCTCCCTATACCCTCCTAACACTCCCTGTGGGCCCCGAACCCTCGGTGCTCCGAATCTTCGTGGCCCCCTGCGAATCACAAAGATTCCGCAAATCTTTGTGATCCCCTGCGAATCACAAAGATTCCGCAAATCTTTGTGATCCCCTGCGAATCACAAAGATTCAAAGATCCCGAGCGCAGCCTTTCAACGCAATCTTTGTGATCAAGCCCTCGGCTGTCACAAAGATTGCCACGAAATGCAGCGCTGAGAATCCTTGAATCTTTGTGATCCCCTGCGAATCACAAAGATTCTGCAAATATTTGCGATCCCCTGCGAATCACAAAGATTCCGCAAATCTTTGCGATTCCCGGCGAATCACAAAGATTCAAAGATTCCGAGCGCAGCCTTTCCACACAATCTTTGTGATCAAGCCCTCGGCTGTCACAAAGATTGCCACGAGATGCAGCGCTGGAGATCTTTAAATATTTGTGATTCCCTGCGAGTCACAAAGATTCTGCAAATCTTTGTGATCCCCTGCGAACCACAAAGATTCCGCAAATCTTTGTGATTCCCTGCGCATCACGAAGATTCGAAGACCCCGAGCGCATCTAAGAAGAACCGCGCTGGTGATCTTCGAAGCTTTGTGAGCCTCGAGGGGCCGCAAAGACTTCAAGTGTTTTTGTGAACTTGATCTGCCTCAGCGCGTTGGCATCAAGGAACACGTGGGTCCCCAGTGTCCTTGTTGCCAACAAAGGGAACAAGGACACTGGGGACCCACGGGGATTTGAACTGAGGCGCTTGGGGCCTTTCGGACGCCATCGCATCTTCATTATTCCTTGATCGTCATCCCGAAATGTGACGCGACGACTACGATGACGATAGAATATATGGCTGCGCGTGCTGCTATGCCACGAACGGTCCAAACTCAATGCCCAGCGATGCTGCGCGGGGCGCGCGCGCCACCCCCGCTACCGCCCCGTGTAGCGGCGAGCCCGCCCGCGCAGCACAACTAGCTCCGAAGCTCTAGGCGGCGCTCGGTCTAAAGTTGGCCTGCGCACAGCTACGACGCCCCCACCAGGCTGGCCACGCCCTCCCACAGCGCGGCGCCCGTGCATGCCAAGTTCTGCCTCCACTGCCACGACGTGATGCATGCGCGCAGCTCAGGGTTCACGGCGCGACCCGTGGCGGCCTTCAGGGTCCGCGGGATGTACGACTTCATGTACTTCCACCGTGAGTCCATTGCCTGCGTGCCAGCCAGGCGGGACTGCCCCCTCTTCTTCTTGGCAATGAGCTTCGTGTACTGCCGCTTCTGGTGCACCACCGCCGACAGCGCGATGTTGCGGCCTGCCTTGTTCTGCTGCTCGACGACCTTGGGCCAGGCCAGCGCGCCGTCGGAGAAGAGGAACACCTTCTTCTTCCTCACCAGTCTGCTCATGATGCCCGACTTGAGAACCTCGCCCTGCGCCTCGGGCGGCGGCGCCGTGCCAGGCGGCACCGCGCGGACAGGAAGTGGGGCAACGGTCACTTTGCCACCTCGCTCACAAAGCCCCACGTAGCGGACGTGGACCATGTAGTGCTTGGGCTCCACGAACTTGCAGGACCGCTTCTTCGCCCTGCATGCCTTCAGCCTCAGGTATGCGATCGTCCTCTTCTTCGCCTCTGCGATCTCGGTCCGCCACGTCGTGCTCTTGCTGCTCACCCTGATCTTCCTGACCAGCGTGCCGTCGCCCTCGATGTTGCGGATGGGCTCGATCTCCCCGCCGAGCTGCATCGACTCGTTATCCTTGTCCCCTGCGTCCGCCCCCAAGCCGCGCAGATGCCTGTACAGGCGGTGCGCGACTTTGTACCCGCAGTATGCCGACTTGGCAGCTTTCCGCGCGCTGGCGCTGCCCTGGCCCGCCGCGTCCGTATAGGATTCGAGGAGCGACCTCAGCTGGACGCAGCTCAACTGCCCGATCAGCTTGTACGGGATCTTCGAGAACTTCATGACGCTGTGGTAGCAGTGGCACCCCCAATCGTTGCAGCGGAAGTAGAGCAAGTCCTTGTTGGTGGCACCGCCCCTGGCCCGACTGCACGGGGCGTCCGAAAGGTATCCCCTCGCGCATGTCGGGCAGCGAAGAGGTGCCCGAGCGAGGAAGCCCGCTTGGACCAGCTCCTCGCGGGCTGCAACCGAGCCTTCGGCCCCGCGCGAACAGGTCTTCTTCTCCAAATTGGCCTGCAACGCGATGGCGCGCTTCTCGCTGTGGCCAGCCGAGTGCAGCTTGGAGCGCTGGCGCCGCAACTTCTTGAACGACTTCGGCTGGCTCGCCCTCAGCTGGCCCGTCCTCGGCTTGGCGCTGGTCTTCTCCAAGCGGCTGATCTTCGCCTTCAGACTCTTGATGACAGCAGCGCCAGGGCTCGGGCACGTCGCCACGGTGTGCCCCGACTTGCCGCAGCAGCTGCAGCGATGGCGCTTACTCGGCGCCATGGCCAAGGGCGCCCCCGCCGCCGCGCGGCCGCGGCGCCTGCAGATGGCAAGCGCAGCGCGCTCGAGCCGAAGAAATCGCCAGATGCCTCGGGCAGGCGCGGGCGGCCACAACATAAACGTGTGATTTGGTTGTGCCTCGAACGCTCCTGGTGATCTCGCGACTCGCAGTAGCAACGCAGTGGTGGTCATATCGCACTTTTACTTCGAGGTATCACGCCTCGCTGAGTTGCAATTGCGTTTGCTCGCGTCGCTGCGCCCCCCCATGTGTTGCTACTGGGTCGGAGGGGCGTTCCCGACGGCAACTTTTCATGGTCATCATGACCCTCCTCCTCCCCCGCCTCTCTCGGACCCAGTAGCAACACAGCGGTGGCCATATCGCACTTTCAGTTCGAGGTCTCACGCCTCACTGCGTTGCTCTTGCGTTCGCTCGTGTCGCTGTGCTGCTGCTGGTCACAGTGACCACTGCGTAGGCGGACTCGGCGGAGCCTATGTGTATTTTGTTTCTCATTCTACCCGGGCGACCCCGATCCTCGCCCCCGAACGTACATCCTGCGAGAAAGCTCTAGGATACCAGGCCCGTGAGCGACCACAAAGCCCTCGCGCTGACGGAGAGCGGTCAGCCCCGACCACCGCTGCGAAGTCATGCGCTAGATGTCCGAGCCCGCCCTCGCTACCAGCCAATGCCACGTGCCGACAATCGCCCTCCCCCCCATGACTTCATTGCTCGCCTGGTCGTCAGCTTGGCATGGGCCAGTAGCGGGGCATCTCGAAGGTAGATTGCGCGCGGGCGCGCGGCGGGGCCCAGGCCGCGGCGCGCTCCGAGCTCTCATGCAATGGCTGCTCAATCCTCCTCCCCCATGCCTACTGGTGGGAAGAGCGGAGGACTGCTCGGCGACAACGCCTGCGGGCTTGCCTCGACGCCAGGCTGCGTGGCCAAGCCCTCGGCCTCGAGCATCGCCCCCAGCTCCGCGGCCAGGATGTCGGGCTGGCCCTCGACAAGCGACGGCGGGGAGCCCCTCGGACGCACCTCCCTCGCCCCCACGCCGTCGATGCGGCACCGGCTGCGCTTGGTGCTGGTGCGCGGTGCCGGCGGCCCCGTCGGGAACACGTAACTCCCGTCTCCATCTGGGCGCACGTGGAGAGCGATCGCCCCGCCGCTGGCCTCGGCCCCGGGGCTAGGCGGCGCCGCGCAGAGCATGGAGCCCCGTCGCTGGCCTCGGCCTCGGGGCGCGGCGGCGCCGCGCTCAGCCTGGAGGACAACTCCATGACGGAGAGCAGCTTGGCCTGCAAGGACTCGTTGCACTCGGCGATGTAGGCGTCGGCCAGCCTGTCCCCGCGCGCGGTCACGGCACGGTCGATCAAGTCCTGCTCCCTCTGCAACTGCTCGTCGAAGTTGTCGTAGAACACCTCATGCCCTGCTTGTAGAGGTTGTAGTACTTCTTGTTGTCATTGCCCCAGTACTGCTTGACGCGCAACCAGTCCTTCTCGATGTTGTCGAAGCTGATGCGGTGGACCACCGCGTCGGGGTCGCTGCTGGGAAAGCGAAGGTACATGGAGTGGCGACCAGCGACGCACGCGACGGTGCGCTTGAGCACCGCGAGGACATGCGCCTGCTTCCACCCCGAGAACGGCTTCATGAACAGCTTCTCAGCCTCGGCCGCGGTGATAATGGTTCGGTCATCCGCGGGCGGTTCGTCCTTCTCATCGAACTCATTCTCCGCCAAGCACCGCGCTGAGTTCTTCGCGAACTTGGCGTCGTTGTACCTGGCCCTGGCGAAGGTGTCCTCTGCGGCGTCGAAGAAGGACTTCAGGTCATCGATCGAGAGATGCCACGTGCCAGGGTCGTCGAGGAGAGTGCCCTCGCTCGCTGTCCCCTGGCTGGACTTGAAGCCGTCCATCGACTTGCTGCGGCGCCATCCAGGGAGTAGATTACCGCCCGAGCGCGCCGCAGTGTAGCGGCCCATGGCCATGGCGAGCGCGATGAAAGTGGGCGTCTTGCCGATGCCAGGCAAGCCAAAGAAGAGGAGTCCAAACTGCGATAGGAGCGGGAAGACGCACGGAAGCAACACTTCTGGCCACAGCGGGTGCAAGTCGAACACGCACAGGGGGAACGAGCGCTCAACCTTGGCGCACCCCGTTGCTGCCTTCGCTCGGTTGTGCACTGCGTTAGCAACTTTAGCCCGCGGCCACCCCGCAATATTGGACCCGCTGCTCGGCTTGATGTTCTTCTCAATGAAGAGCCACTGCTGGTTCATGTCGTTCACGGCGGGCGCGTGCTTGTTGATGAAGTCAATGCCCTCTTCGGGCTCCTCGTCCGTGGCCTCCCATCTCTTCTTTTCGCCGTCTGTCGGTTTCGCCCGTTGCTTCTCCTCCGCGCTTGCCCAATCGACGCGGCGGCCAGGGATGCGATCAAGCAACCACTGCAGGGTTTTCTTGTGGAGCCATGGGCCTTTTCTCGCTATTGGAGCATGCCCAGTCCCGATCGCGAGCTCCTGTGCGGTCTTCAAGGGCACCTGGTTCTGGAACGCGTAGATCTTGACGGCGACGGCGGCGCCGTTGCCGTTGCCACCGACAACGGAGTATTTGATGCCTTCGGGGAGCTCAGCGCCTGGGCGAAGAGCAGGCGGCACGTCGGTGCACGTCTGCCCCGCGATCTGCCCCATGACCTGGTCCAGATTTTCCGGCATCGGAAACTCTTCCACGACGTCGAAGATAGACCTGGTCACCCTCGCCTCGCCCAGCTTCCGCAGAGCACCGCGGGTAAAAGTGCCGACGTCGATGGGCCCGTCAATGTCCCCCGCCGCCTTGCTGGACACGGCGGCCGCGTCCAACTCCGAGTAGGTCATGTCCTTGTCCTTCAAGGCGCCCATGGCCTCGTCGATGAGCAACGGCATCGCGGGTCGAGCGGGCGCGAGCCTCGTCGGGCAACCACCAGCAATCCAACGGCACAGCCAAAGAGCTTGAGCCACACGTCTTTGAACAGAAGCACGCAAGCGATCGCTTATCTTGACTTTCGTGTCATTGATTGGCATAAGTTGCGCCACGTAGCTTGCCGCACATAGGTTGCGACTCATGCACGGCGCCGCTTGCGCCACATACTCTGCACCATATACGTTGCACCACATGCCCTGCACCGTGTAGATTGCGCCGCCTAGGTTGCACCTGTAGCTTGAAAGACGGGGGGTCGAGTGAGCACCCAAAAGGCCAGTGGGCCATCACATTGCACTTATCATCATCACAGCCACCACCATCACCATCAGCAAACTCACCATCATCATCATCATCATTACCATGTCCATCACTACCACCATAGTCGCCATCCTCAGCATCATCATTACCGTCATCACCGTCATCATCATCATCGCCATCATCATCATCGTCGTCTTCATCAAAAGCATCCCCAACATCATCATCATTATGACCTCGAATTGAAAGTGCGATATGGCCACCACTGTGTTGCTACTGGGTCCGAAAGAGGCGGGGGCGGAGGAGGATCATGATGACCATGAGAAGTTGCCGTCGGGAACAGTCCTCCGACCCAGTAGCAACACAGGGGGGCGCAGCGACGCGAGCGAACGCAATTGCAACGCAGCCACATTACACTTATCATCATCACCGCCGTCACCATCGTCACCATCGTCATCACAATTCATCATCATCATTACCATGGCCATCATTACCACCATAGTCGTCTTCCTCATCGTCATCGCCATCATCACCATTACCATCATCATCGTCATCATCATTGTCATCATCGTCATCATCATCATTATCATCCACGTCTTCATCAAAATCAGCCCCATCTGGCCACTGGCCACAAGTTAGGCCATTAAGTTACACTCATCATTGTCACCGCCATCACCATCATCATCATCAAATTCATCATCATCATCAGTACCATGGCCATCATTACCACCATAGTCGTCATCCTCCCCATCATCATCATCATTACTATCATCACCGCCATCATCATCGTCATCATCATCCTCGGCTTCATCAAAAGCATACCCATCATCAGTATGACCTCGAACTGAAAGTGCGATATGGCCACCGCTGCGTTGCTACTGGGTCCGAAAGAGGCGGGGGCGGAGGAGGAATATCACGATGACCAAGAAGTTGCTGTCGGGAACAGTCCTCCGACCCAGTAGCAACACAGGGGGGCGCAGCGACACGAGCGAACGCAATGGCAACGCAGCCACATTACACTTGTCATCATCACCGCCACCACCATCATCATCAAGTTCATCATCATCATTACCATGGCCACTATTACCACCAGAGTCGTCATCCTCATCATCATCACCGTCATCATCATTACCATCACCGTCGTCATCATCATTATCATCATCGTCATCATCATTATCACCCACGTTTTCATCAAATCATGCCCATCCGGCACCGGCGGTAAGTTAGGCCATCAAGCTACAATCATCATCATCACCGCCATCACCATCGTTATCATCAACTTCATCAGCATCATCATTTTCATTACCATGGCCATCATTTCACCATAGTCGCCCTCATCATCATCATCATCGTCATCATCATCACCATTACCATCATCATCGTCATCATCATTATCACCACCATCGTCATCATCATCAGCATTACCATCATCGTCGTCATCATCATTATCATCATCGTCATCATTATCATTCTCGTCCTGGTCTTTATTAACATCATCCCCATCATCATCATCATGACCTCGAAGTGAACGTGCGATATGCCACTGTGTTGCTACTGGGTCCGAAAGGGGCGGGGGCGGAGGGGGATCATGATGACCATGAGAAGTTACTGTCGGGAACAGTCCTCCGACCCAGTAGCAACGCAGGGCTCCTCCTCCTCCCCCCCCCCCCCCTCCTCGCTTTCATCGTCGTCGGCGGGGTCGGCAGCGCCGGCCGCGAGATAAGGCGCCAATATACACTCATCATTATCACCGCCACCATTATCATCATCATCGCCAGCCTCATCTTCATCATCATCGCCATCATCAGCATCATCCTTATCATCAATACCACCATCATCATCGCTATCATCATGATACTCATCGTCATTACCATCATCATCATTCATACCATGACCATCATCACCATCACCGCCATGACCGCCATCATAACCGTCATCATCTTCACTATTACAAACCAATCCCAGGTGCCACAGTTGCTTGCATCGGGGCCCTCCTCATGCACCGACCGCAACGAGATCAACCTTTCGGCCGTCCTCGCCGCTGCTCGACGATAGCGTTGCAGTGCCTCCTCCTCCGCCGCCTCCTCCCGCATCCCCCTTCTCCTCTTCCTCCTCCTCCTCCTCCTCCTCCTCCAGTCCTCTCCTTCCTCATCTCCTCCTCCTCCTCCTTCCTCCTCCTCTCCCCCCCTCCTCTCTCCTCCGTCCTCCTCTCCTCCTCCTCCTCCTCCTCCTCCTCTCCTCCCCCACATCCCTGCCATGTCTAGTACTCTATATCATTATTTTCCTGCCTCCTCCTCCGCCCTCGGCGCCCTCCCACACCGCCTCGGGCGACAGCGCCCGCTGTGTTGCTACTGGGTCGGGCCGCGGTCCTCGCAGCTGCGCGCCGCTGGCGTTGCAGCCCCTCCTCCTCCTCCCACCTCCTCCTCCCGCCCTCCTCCCCCGCTTTCCCCCCTCCTCCTCTCCCGCCCCTCCTCTGAGAGGAGCCCCCCCCCCCCCCCCTCCTGCTCAAATATCCCCCTCCCCCTTCTCTTCGCACTACCCAGTTTCATCCTCTCCCTGTCTCCTCCTCTGTCCTCGGCAATGCAAGCCCAACGCAATGCCATGCAATGCGACGCCGCGCAACGCAAAGCAACGCAGCACACGACATCTAGCACCGCATATACTACACGCGTTGCTGCTGCCTCGGCACCGTTCTTTTTCTCAAATGCGATGCGTTCTGCAGCGTCGCGATAACGCGCCCAGCCCATGCGTTGAATATCCATGCGCGGCAACCCAAACCGCGCCACTAAGGCAGCATGGCGTTGGGACGTTCGCTGGCCATGGCCCCCGCCTGCTGGCCGATTGGCGCTGCAGACGGTCACGCGCCGCAGCGCGGGCACGTCTTGATGCTCGGTATTTGCTTCGAACTGCACACTACGCAGAACCGCTCGATATGCCGGCAGGATCCCTGTCCGTACCGCAGCGTGGCGTAGCCGCACCGCCCGCACTTAAGCAGGCGGCCGCTGCCCGCAGGAATCCTGGACACCAGCTGATCAGGTGTCTGGGATGTCCTCGCTGGGCCGCTGGGATGCACGATGCCATGCTCCCTGTCTGGGCGGCCGTGCTCCTTGCCGTACGCGCAGACCCGACCGTCTGCAGCGCCCGCAAGTTCGAGGCTCTTGTACGCGAGTCCGTCCTCGCCGCAGCTACGGCACCGCCTCATGTAGCAGGTCTCGTAATAGTTCGACCACGCCACTGCGACCTTCGCGGCGTGTCCGCCGCGCGCAGCACGGGGCGCCATCGGTGTCCTGTCAGGCTCGTCGTCGGCGGGGCCCTCGTCCACGGCCTGGTATTGCTTGCCCGTGCCGAGACACAGTCTCATTGGAATTTCTTCCCACTTACCAGAATGCGACAGTTTTTCACGCGCCTCCCGAACATTGCCCGCGCCGACGCTGGCATGCAGCTGATCGAGGAGCTTGCCCTTATCTGGGGGCGGGAGCATGCTGAACGTCACCGACGCGTTTCGCCGCAGCGACTCTGGCTTGAGCGCCCACAAGTGCACGCGGGCGTTCCAATACCCATTATAAGGGTCATCGCCCTTAGATGTCCGATGGGTCTGCAACTTGGGAGTTCGGTTCTCGTTGAAGCCTGTCACTATATTCTCTTCTAGCTCTTTGTACTGAGGGAACGTTGGCGGAGGGTGCTGGTAGCAATACACCAGCGTGTCCCTCATGCCCGAGAACGAGTCGTAACGGGAACGCACGCTGGACTCGTCGTACTTCAACATCTCGTACCGTGCTCCGGCCATGCCAAGAGTCAGGATGGTTGCGCTGGAATCCCATTGCTTCTTCTTCTTGCCCAAGGCGCGCAGAACGTGAACAAGCTGCAAGTTTATAAGGTGCCCGTGCACTTTGAACGGGCCTCCGATGGACCGAATCTCTTGCTTAATATCCAGTCCTGGGAGCGCCAGCACCATGGGCCGACTTGCTTTCCAGAATATCACCATGTCGTCTCCTGCCTTGCTGTTTTCCCAGAAACGTACGAACAGATCTCTTGGAGTCGGCAACTTCAAAGCCACAACGCATGTAATCAAGCCCTCGTTGCCTCGGAATGCTCGGCGCCAATGTTCATAGTTGCTTTGGGCGTGTTGCAAATCAATCGGTAGTGTCCTTGTTGTTTTCTTGAGCGCGCCCCGCCAGTACGAAACCGGTTTGATGGTGCGCCTCTTCGGCTTCGTGCCACAAGTCTTCCCCATACCGTCGCTGTGGAGCATGATCCTCGGCCTAGTCAAGGCCACGAACAGCAGGGCGATAAACCTCAGTAAGAATGGTTTGAGCCCGAGGCTACGGAAGGGGATGGCGGTGAGAACGGCGACAGGCTGCGCATGGCCAAGTTCATAATTCCGCTCAGCTCCCCCCGTCTGCCGAGGGCGGCGTAGCGCACAGTCAAAACGTATCATAAGGACGCGCGGTAAGGACGCAAGACCCTTGGAGGCCGAAGTTGGGGCATTTGGGACGCGTGTCCTTACCGTGCGGTAAGGGCGCGCGGTGAAGACGCAAGGGATCCAAGGGTGCCCTAGGAAAAGGCGCGCGTCCTTACCATGCGCGTTGACTGTATCCGATGTTTGGCCCCCCCCCTGTGTTGCTACTGGGTCGGTAGGCTGTTCCTGAGTGCAACTTCTCATTGTCATCATGGTTTTCCTCATCCCTCCTCCGCCTCTTCTGGGCCCCGTAGCAACGCAGTGGTGGCCATATCGCACTTTTACTTCGAGGTCTCACGCCTCGCTGTGTTGCAATTGCGTTCGCTCGTGTCGCTGCGCCCCCCCTGTGTTGCTACTGGGTCGGAGGGCTGTTCCCGACGGCAACTTTTCATGGTCCATCATGGCCCTCCTCCCCCCCCGCCTCTCTCGGACCCAGTAGCAACACAGCGGTGGCCATATCGCATTTTTACTTCGAGGTCTCACGCCTCGCTGCGTTGCAATTGCGTTCGCTCCTGTCGCTGCGCCCCCCTGTGTTGCTACTGGGTCGGAGGACTGTTCCCGACAGCAACTTCTCATGGTCATCATCCTCCTCCTCCTCCCCCTCCCCCTCCCCCCCGCCTTTTTCGGGCCCAGTAGCAACGCAGTGGACGCGCCCAAGAGCGTCGGACGCCGCGACGGCCGATATTCAAGACAAAGGGCAGCCAACGGATTCGAGGCGGCCTGGCGGAGTCTGGTGCTCCGTATTCGGAGGCAGGCGTCGCTCCTTGCGAAGCAATAGTTAGGGTCCACAGGCAACGACGATGCCGACACTCTTGCCTGCCGCGTCGCTCCGATCGGGGCCTTCCAAGGAAACGCCCTGCCTCTCATCGTCGTCGACGTTGTCCTCGTCGTCGTTGCCGTCGCCATCGCCGTCGCCGTCCTCGCGGTCGCCGTCGCCGTCGCCGTCGTTGCCGTCGCCGTCGCTGGCTCAGGACAGGCCCCCCGCCCCGAGTGCCACAGTTGCTTGCGTGGGGCCTCCGCCGTCGTCGTCGGCGCCGCCGTCGTCGTCGCCGTCGCCGCGATGCCCTCGGAGGTGCTGGGCTGCCTGACAGAGCCTCCCTATACCCTCCGAACACTCCCTGTGGGCCCCGAACCCTCGGTGCTCCGAATCTTTGTGGCCCCCTGCGAATCACAGAGATTCCGCAAATATTTGCGATCCCCTGCGAATCACAAAGATTCCGCAAATCTGCGTGATCCCCTGCGAATCACAAAGATTCAAAGATTCCGAGCGCAGCCTTTCCACGCAATCTTTGTGATCAAGCCCTCGGCTGTCACAAAGATTGCCACGAAATGCAGCGCTGAGAATCTGTGAATCTTTGTGATTCCCTGCGAATCACAAAAAGGTTCTGCAAATCTTTGTGACCCCCTGCGAATCACAAAGATTCCGCAAATCTTCGCGATTCTCTGCGAATCACAAAGATTCAAAGATTCCGAGCGCAGCCTTTCCACACAATCTTTGCGATCAAGCCCCCGGCTGTCACAAAGATTGCCGCGAAATGCAGCGCTGGAGATCTTTGAATACTTGTGATTCCCTGCGAACCACAAAGGTTCTGCAAATCTGTGTGATCCCCTGCGAACCACAAAGATTCCGCAAATCTTTGTGGTTCCCTGCGCATCACAAAGATTCGAAGACCCCGAGCGCATCTAAGAAGAACCGCGCTGGTGATCGTCGAAGCTTTGTGAGCCTCGGGGGGCCGCAAAGACTTCAAGTGTTTTTGTGACCTTGATCTGCCTCAGCGCGTTGGCATCAAGGAGCACGTGGGTCCCCTGTGTCCTTGTTGCCAACAAGGGAACAAGGACACTGGGGACCCACGGGGATTTGAACCGAGGCGCTTGGGGCCTTTCGGACGCCATCGCATCTTCATTCTTCCTTGGTCGTCATCCCGAAATGTGACGCGACGACTACGATGGCGATAGAATCTATGGCTGCGCGTGCTGCTATGCCACGAACGGTCCAAATTCAATGCCCAGCGATGCTGCGCGGGGCGCGCGCGCCACCCCCGCTACCGCCCCGTGTAGCGGCGAGCCCGCCCGCGCAGCACAACTAGCTCCGAAGCTCTAGGCGGCGCTCGGTCTAAAGTTGGCCTGCGCACAGCTACGACGCCCCCACCAGGCTGGCCGCGCTCTCCCACAGCGCGGCGCCCGTGCATGCCAAGTTCTGCCTCCGCTGCCACGACATGATGTATGTGCGCAGCTCAGGGTTCACGGCGCGACCCTTGGCGGCCTTCAGGGTCCGCGGGATGTACGACTTCATGTACTTCCACCGTGAGTCCATTGCCTGCGTGCCAGCCAGGCGGGACTGCCCCCTCTTGTTCTTGGCAATGAGCTTCGTGTACTGCCGCTTCTGGTGCACCACCGCCGACAGCGCGATGTTGCGCCTGCCTTGTTCTGCTGCTCGACGATCTTGGGCCAGGCCAGTGCGCCGTCGGAGAAGAGGAACACCTTCTTCTTCCTCACCAGTCTGTTCATGATGCCCGACTGGAGAACCCCGTCCTGCGCCTCGGGCGGCGGCGCCGTGCCAGGCGGCACCACGCGGACAGGAAGTGGGGCAACGGTCACCCTGCCACCTCGCTCACAAAGCCCCACGTAGCGGACGTGGACCATGTAGTGCTTGGGCTCCACGAACTTGCAGGACCGCTTCTTCGCCCTGCATGCCTTCAGCCTCAGGTATGCGCTCGTCCTCTTCTTCGCCTCTGCGATCTCGGTCCGCCACGTCGTGCTCTTGCTGCTCACCCTGATATTCCTGACCAGCGTGCCGTCGCCCTCGATGTTGCGGATGGGCTCGATCTCCCCGCCGAGCTGCGTCGACTCGTTATCCTTGTCCCCTGCGTCCGCCTCCAAGCCGCGCAGATACCTGTACAGGCGGTGCGCGACGTTGTACCCGCAGTATGCCGACTTGGCAGCTTTCCGCGCGCTGGCGCTGCCCTGGCCCGCCGCGTCCGTATAGGATTCGAGGGGCGACCTCAGCTGGACGCAGCTCAATTGCCCGATCAGCTTGTACGGGATCTTCGAGAACTTCATGACGCTGTGGTAGCAGTGGCACCCCCAATCGTTGCAGCGGAAGTAGAGCAAGTCCTTGTTGGTGGCAGCGCCCCTGGCCCGACTGCACGGGGCGTCCGGGAAGTATCCCCTCGCGCATGTCGGGCAGCGAAGAGGTGCCCGAGCGAGGAGGCCCGCTTGGACCAGCTCCTCGCGGGCTGCAACCGAGCCTTCGGCCCCGCGCGAACAGGGCCTGCAACGCGATGGCGCGCTTCTCGCTGTGGCCAGCCGAGTGCAGCTTGGAGCGCTGGCGCCGCAACTTCTTGAACGACTTCGGCTGGCTCGCCCTCAGCTGGCCCGTCCTCGGCTTGGCGCTGGTCTTCTCCAAGCGGCTGATCTTCGCCTTCAGACTCTTGATGACAGCAGCGCCAGGGCTCGGGCACGTCGCCACGGTGTGCCCCGACTTGCCGCAGCAGCTGCAGCGATGGCGCTTACTCGGCGCCATGGCCAAGGGCGCCCCCGCCGCCGCGCGGCCGCGGCGCCTGCAGAGATGGCAAGCGCAGCGCGCTCGAGCCGAAGAAATCGCCAGATGCCTCGGGCAGGCGCGGGCGGCCACAACATAAACGTGTGATTTGGTTGTGCCTCGAACGCTCCTGGTGATCTCGCGACTCGCAGTAGCAACGCAGTGGTGGTCATATCGCACTTTTACTTCGAGGTATCACGCCTCGCTGAGTTGCAATTGCGTTCGCTCGCGTCGCTGCGCCCCCCCATGTGTTGCTACTGGGTCGGAGGGCTGTTCCCGACGGCAACTTTTCATGGTCATCATGACCCTCCTCCCCCCCCGCCTCTCTCGGACCCAGTAGCAACACAGCGGTGGCCATATCGCACTTTCAGTTCGAGGTCTCACGCCTCACTGCGTTGCTCTTGCGTTCGCTCGTGTCGCTGTGCTGCTGCTGGTCACAGTGACCACTGCGTAGGCGGACTCGGCGGAGCCTATGTGTATTTTGTTTCTCATTCTACCCAGGCGACCCCGATCCTCGCCCCCGAACGTACATCCTGCGAGAAAGCTCTAGGATGCCAGGCCCGTGAGCGACCACAAAGCCCTCGCGCTGACGGAGAGCGGTCAGCCCCGACCACCGCTGCGAAGTCATGCGCTAGATGTCCGAGCCCGCCCTCGCTACCAGCCAATGCCACGTGCCGACAATCGCCCTCCCCCCCATGACTTCATTGCTCGCCTGGTCGTCAGCTTGGCATGGGCCAGTAGCGGGGCATCTCGAAGGTAGATTGCGCGCGGGCGCGCGGCGGGGCCCAGGCCGCGGCGCGCTCCGAGCTCATGCAATGGCTGCTCAATCCTCCTCCCCCATGCCTACTGGTGGGAAGAGCGGAGGACTGCTCGGCGACAACGCCTGCGGGCTTGCCTCGACGCCAGGCTGCGTGGCCAAGCCCTCGGCCTCGAGCATCGCCCCCAGCTCCGCGGCCAGGATGTCGGGCTGGCCCTCGACAAGCGACGGCGGGGAGCCCCTCGGACGCACCTCTCTCGCCCCCACGCCGTCGATGCGGCACCGGCTGCGCTTGGTGCTGGTGCGCGGTACCGGCGGCCCCGTCGGGAACACGTAACTCCCGTCTCCATCTGGGCGCACGCGGAGAGCGATCGCCCCGCCGCTGGCCTCGGCCTCGGGGCTAGGCGGCGCCGCGCTGAGCATGGAGGCCCCGTCGCCGGCCTCGGCCTTGGGGCGCGGCGGCGCCGCGCTCAGCCTGGAGGACGACTCCATGACGGAGAGCAGCTTGGCCTGCAAGGACTCGTTGCACTCGGCGATGTAGGCGTCGGCCAGCCCGCCCCCGCGCGCGGTCACGGCACGGTCGATCAAGTCCTGCTCCCTCTGCAACTGCTCGTCGAAGTTGTCGTAGAACACCTCCACGCCCTGCTTGTAGAGGTTGTAGTACTTCTTGTTGTCATTGCCCCAGTACTGCTTGTCGCGCAACCAGTCCTTCTCGATGTTGTCGAAGCTGATGCGGTGGACCACCGCGTCGGGGTCGCTGCTGGGAAAGCGAAGGTACATGGAGTGGCGACCAGCGACGCACGCGACGGTGCGCTTGAGCACCGCGAGGACATGCGCCTGCCTCCACCCCGAGAACGGCTTCATGAACAGCTTCTCAGCCTCGGCCGCGGTGATAATGGTTCGGTCATCCGCGGGCGGCTCGTCCTTCTCATCGAACTCATTCTCCGCCAAGCACCGCGCTGAGTTCTTCACGAACTTGGCGTCGTTGTACCTGGCCCTGGCGAAGGTGTCCTCTGCGGCGTCGAAGAAGGACTTCAGGTCATCGATCGAGAGATGCCACATGCCAGGGTCGTCGAGGAGAGTGCCCTCGGACGCTGTCCCCTGGCTGGACTTGAAGCCGTCCATCGACTTGCTGCGGCGCCATCCAGGGAGTAGATTACCGCCCGAGCACGCCGCAGTGTAGCGGCCCATGGCCATGGCGAGCACGATGAAAGTGGGCGCCTTGCCGATGCCAGGCAAGCCAAAGAAGAGGAGTCCAAACTGCGATAGGAGCGGGAAGACGCACGGAAGCAACACTTCTGGCCACAGCGGGTGCAAGTCGAACACGCACAGGGGGAACGAGCGCTCAACCTTGGCGCACCCCGTTGCTGCCTTCGCTCGGTTGCGCACTGCGTTAGCAACTTTAGCCCACGGCCACCCCGCAATCTTGGACCCGCTGCTCTGTTTGATGTTCTTCTCAATGAAGAGCCACTGCTGGTTCATGTCGTTCACGGCGGGCGCGTGCTTGTTGATGAAGTCAATGCCCTCTTCGAGCTCCTCGTCCGTGGCCTCCCATCTCTTCTTTTCGCCGTCTGTCGGTTTCGCCCGTTGCTTCTCCTCCACGCTTGCCCAATCGACGCGGTGGCCAGGGATGCGATCAAGCAACCACTGCAGGGTTTTCTTGTGGAGCCATGTGCCTTTTTCTCGCTATTGGAGCATGCCCAGTCCCGATCGCGAGCTCCTGTGCGGTCTTCAAGGGCACCTGGTTCTGGAACGCGTAGATCTTGACGGCGACGGCGGCGCCGTTGCCGTTGCCACCAACGACAACGGAGTATTTGGTGCCTTCGGGGAGTTCAGCGCCTGGGCGAAGAGCAGGCGGCACGTCGGTGTACGTCTGCCCCGCGATCTGCTCCATGACCTGGCCCAGATTCTCTGGCATCGGAAACTCTTCCACGACGTCGAAGAGAGACCTGGTCACCCTCGCCTCGCCCAGCTTCCGCAGAGCACCGCGGGTAAAAGTGCCGACGTCGATGGGCCCGTCAATGTCCCCCGCCGCCTTGCTGGACACGGCGGCCGCGTCCAACTCCGAGTAGGTCATGCCCTTGTCCTTCAAGGCGCCCATGGCCTCGTCGATGAGCAACGGCATCGCGGGTCGAGCGGGCGCGAGCCTCGTCGGGCAACCACCAGCAATCCAACGACACAGCCAAAGAGCTTGAGCCACACGTCCTTGAACAGAAGCACGCAAGCGATCGCTTATCTTGAATTTCGTGTCATTGGTTGGCATAAGTTGCGCCACATAGCTTGCCGCGCATAGGTTGCGACTCATGCACGGCGCCGCTTGCACCACATACTCTGCGCCATGTACGTACGTTGCGCCACATACCCTGCACCATGTAGATTGCGCCGCCTAGGTTGCACCTGTAGCTTGAAAGACGGGGGGTCGAGTGAGCACCCAAAGGCCAGTAGGCCATCACATTACACTTATCATCACAGCCACCACCACCACCATCAGCAAATTCACCATCATCATCATCATTACCATGTCCATCACTACCACCATAGTCGCCATCCTCAGCATCATCGTCATCATCATCATTACCATCATCACCGTCATCATCATCATCGTCATCATCATCATCGTCGTCTTCATCAAAAGCATCCCCATCATCATCATCATCATTGTGACCTCGAATTGAAAGTGCGACATGGCCACCACTGCGTTGCGACTGGGTCCGAAAGAGGCGGGGGCGGAGGAGGATCATGATGACCATGAGAAGTTGCTGTCGGGAACAGTCCTGCGACCCAGTAGCAACACAGGGGGGCGCAGCGACACGACCGAACGCAATTGCAACGCAGCCACATTACACTTATCATCATCACCGCCGTCACCATCGTCATCATCGTCATCACAATTCATCACCATCATTACCATGGCCATCATTACCACCATAGTCGTCATCCTCATCGGCATCGTCATCATCACCATTACCATCATCATCGTCATCATCATTGTCATCATCGTCATCATCATCATTAGCATCCACGTCTTCATCAAAATCATCCCCATCTGGCCACTGGCCGCAAGTTAAGCCATCAAGTTACACTCATCATTGTCACCGCCATCACCATCATCATCATCAAATTCATCATCATCATCATCATCATCAGTACCATGGCCATCATTACCACCACAGTCGCCATCCTCCTCCTCATCATCATCATTACTATCATCACCGTCATCATCATCGTCATCATCACCATCCTCGGCTTCATCAAAAGCATACCCATCATCAGTATGACCTCGAACTGAAAGTGCGATATGGCCACCACTGCGCTGCTACTGGGCCCGAAAGAGGCGGAGGCGGAGGAGGAAGATCATGATGACCAAGAGAAGTTGCTGTCGGGAACAGTCCTCCGACCCAGTAGCAACACAGGGGGGCGCAGCGACACGAGCGAACGCAATGGCAACGCAGCCACATTACACTTGTCATCATCACCGCCACCACCATCATCATCAAGTTCATCATCATCATTACCATGGCCACTATTACCACCAGAGTCGTCATCCTCATCATCATCACCGTCATCATCATTACCATCACCGTCGTCATCATCATTATCATCATCGTCATCATCATTATCACCCACGTTTTCATCAAATCATGCCCATCCGGCACCGGCGGTAAGTTAGGCCATCAAGTTACAATTATCATCACCACCGCCATCACCATCGTCATCATCAACTTCATCAGCATCATCATGTTCATTACCATGGCCATCATTTCACCGTAGTCGCCCTCATCATCATCATCATCGTCATCATCATCACCATTACCATCATCATCGTCATCATCATTATCATCATCATCGTCATCATCATCAGCATTACCATCATCATCGTCATCATCATTATCATCATCGTCAACATTATCATCATTCTCGTCCTGGTCTTTATTAACATCATCCCCATCATCATCATCATGACCTCGAAGTGAACGTGCGACATGGCCACCACTGTGTTGCTACTGGGTCCGAAAGGGGCGGGGGCGGAGGAGGATCATGATGACCATGAGAAGTTACTGTCGGGAACAGTCCTCCGACCCAGTAGCAACACAGGGCCCCTCCTCCTCCTTCTCCCCCTCCTCGTCTTCATCGTCGTCGGCGGGGTCGGCGGCGCCGGCCGTGAGATAGGGCGCCAATATACACTCATCATTATCACCGCCGCCATTGTCATCATCGCCAGCCTCATCTTCATCGTCATCGCCATCATCAGCATCATCCTTATCATCAATACCACCATCATCATCGCTATCATCATGATACTCATCGTCATTACCATCATCGTCATTCATACCATGACCATCATCACCATCACCGCCATGACCGTCATCATAACCGTCATCATCTTCACTACTACAAACCAATCCCAGGTGCCACAGTTGCTTGCGTCGGGGCCCTCCTCCTGCAGTGACCGCAACGAGATCAACCTTTCGGCCGTCCTCTCCGCTGCTCGACGATAGCGTTGCAGTGCCTCCTCCTCCGCCGCCTCCTCCCGCATCCTCCTTCTCCTCTTCCTCCTCCTCCTCCTCCTCCTCCTCCCCATCCCCCTCCTCCTCCCTCCTTCTCCTCCTCCTCCTCCTCCTCTTCCTCCTCCTCCTCCTCCTCCTATCTCCTCTTCCTCCTCCTCCTCCTCCTCCTCCTCCTCCTCCTCCTCCCCCCCCACATCCCTCCCATGTCTAGTACTCTATATCATTCTCTTCCTGCCTCCTCCTCCGTCCTCGGCGTCCTCCCACACCTCCTCGGGTGACAGCGCCCGCTGTGTTGCTACTGGGTCGGGCCGCGGTCCTCGCAGCTGCGCGCCGCTGGCGTTGCAGCCCCTCCTCCTCCTCCCACCTCCTCCTCCCGCCTCCTCCCGCTACCTCCTCCTCCTCCTCCTCCGCCGCCCCTCCTCTGAGAGGAGGGGGGAGAGTCCCCCCCCCCCTCCTGCTCAAATATCCCCCTCCCCCTTCTCTTCGCACTACCCAGTTGCATCCTCTCCCTGTCTCCTCCTCTGTCCTCGGCAATGCAAACCCAGCGCAATGCCATGCAATACGACGCCACACAGCGCAAAGCAACGCAGCGCACGACATCTAGCACCGCATATACTACACGCGCTGCTGCTGCCTCGGCACCGTTCTTTTTCTCAAATGCGATGCGTTCTGCAGCGTTGCGATAACGCGCCCAGTCCATGCGTTGAATATCCATGCGCGGCAACCCAAACCGCGCCACTAAGGCAGCATGGCGTTGGGGCGTTCGCTGGCCATGGCCCCCGCCTGCTGGCCGATTGGCGCTGCAGACGGTCGCGCGCCGCAGCACGGGCACGTCTTGATGCTCGGCAATTGCTCCGAATTGCACACTACGCAGAACCGCTTGATATGCCGGCAGGATCCCTGTCCGCACCGCAGCTTGGCGTAGCCGCACTGCCCGCGCTTAAGCAGGCGGCCGCTGCCCGCAGGAATCCTGGACACCAGCTGATCAGGTGTCTGGGATGTCCTCGCTGGGCCGCTGGGATGCACGATGCCACGCCCCTTGCCTGGGCGGCCGTGCTCCTTGCAGTACGCGCAGACCCGACCGTCTGCAGCGCCCGCAAGTTCGAGGCTCTTGTGCGCGAGTCCGTCCTCGCCGCAGCTACGGCACCGCCTCATGTAGCAGGTCTCGTAATAGTTCGACCGCGCCACTGCGACCTTCGCGGCGTGTCCGCCGCGCGCAGCACGGGGCGCCATCGGTGTCCCGTCAGGCTCGTCGTCGGCGGGGCCCTCGTCCACGGCCTGGTATTGCTTGCCCGTGCCGAGACACAGTCTCATTGGAATTTCTTCCCACTTACCAGAATACGACAGTTTTTCACACGCCTCCCGAACATTGTCCGCGCCGACGCTGGCATGCAGCTGATCGAGGAGCTTGCCCTTATCTGGGAGCGGGAGCATGCTGAACGTCACCGACGCGTTTCGCCGCAGCGACTCTGGCTTGAGCGCCCACAAGTGCACGCGGGCGTTCCAATACCCATTATAAGGGTCATCGCCCTTAGATGTCCGATGGGTCTGCAACTTGGGAGTTCGGTTCTCGTTGAAGCCTGTCACTATCTTCTCTTCTAGCTCTTTGTACTGAGGGAACGTTGACGGAGGGTGCTGGTAGCAATGCACCAGCGTGTCCCTCATGCCCGAGAACGAGTCGTAACAGGAACGCACGCTGGACTCGTCGTACTTCAACATATCGTACCGTTCTCCGGCCATGCCAAGAGTCAGGATGGTTGCGCTGGAATCCCATGGCTTCTTCTTCTTGCCCAAGGCGCGCAGAACGTGAACAAGCTGCATGTTTATGAAGTGCCCGTGCACTTTGAACGGGCCTCCGATGGACCGAATCTCCTGCTTAATATCCAGTCCTGGGAGCGCCAGCGCCATGGGCCGATTTGCTTTCCAGAAGTTCACCACGTCGTCTCCTGCCTTGCTGTTTTCCCAGAAACGTACGAACAGATCTCTTGGAGTCGGCAACTTCAAAGCCACAACGTATGTAATCAAGCCCTCGTTGCCTCGGAATGCTCGGAGCCAATGTTCATAATTGTTTTGGGCGTGTTGCAAATCAATCGGTAGTGTCCTGGTTGTTTTCTTGAGCGCGCCCCGCCAGTACGAAACCGGTTTGATGGTGCGCCTCTTCGGCTTCGTGCCGCAAGTCTTCCCCAGACCGTCGCTGTGGAGTATGATCCTCGGCCTAGTCAAGGCCGCGAACAGCAGGGCGATAAACCTCAGTAAGAATGGTTTGAGCCCGAGGCTACGGAAGGGGATGGCGGTGAGAACGGCGACAGGCTGCGCATGGCCAAGTTCATAATTCCGCTCAGCTCCCCCCGTCTGCCGAGGGTGGCGTAGCGCACAGTCAAAACGTATCATGAGGACGCGCGGTAAGGACGCAAGACCCTTGGAGGCCGAAGTTGGGGCATTTGGGACGCGTGTCCTTACCATGCGGTAAGGGCGCGCGGTGAAGACGCAAGGGATCCAAGGGTACCCTAGGAAAAGGCGCGCGTCCTTACCATGCGCGTTGACTGTATCCGATGTTTGGCCCCCCCCCCTGCGTTGCTACTGGGTCGGTAGGCTGTTCCTGAGTGCAACTTCTCATTGTCACAATGGTTTTCCTCATC